TATACAACAACAACAAAAATAAAAAAAATCAGCCATATTAGAAAGTATATAAGGAATAGCAGAGCGAATGCTCAAAAGTCTTAGTCCAGTCAATCTTAATACATAATTTGTTCCAGTTAGAGGTGAGCATTTGGGACTGGACCCAAAAAACCCACCCAAAAACCTGGGCCTAGGACCGGTCCTCACAAAGACTAGTCCTAGGGGGTGGTCCGATCCTAAAACCCGACCCAAATAATGGAGGAAGGCCCGAGCCCTCCTCTCAGGCCTGAGCCCAAACCTTTTTTTTTTTTTAATGCTACCTAGTAAATTACCAAAAACCCCTTATTTTTTCAAACTTTTACTAAATATGGGGGCTAAATTGATATTTTATAAAAAAATATATTGTAATATTGCATTGAGCAACCAACGGTTAACTGACTGTTGGCTGCTCAATGCAATAGTCAATTGACCATTGAAACCAATGGTCATTGAGCAGTCAACGATTAACTGACTGTTGGCTGCTCAATGCAATAGTCAACTGACCATTGAAACCAATGGTCATTGAGCAGCCAACGATTAACTGACTGTTGGCTGCTCAATGCATAGTCAACTGACCGTTGAAGTCAGTTGACCATTGGCTCAGTAGTCATAGTTTTGGGGGGGGGGGGGGGGGGGGGGGACTTTATTTTTTTGCACTTGCCCCCCAAACGTCAACTGCAAAAACCCCCTTATATTTCACATTTTCTTCACAACTCAACTCTCAATCTATTATCTTCTCTCAATCTCTCTACTCCAGTTCTCAAATTCTCTTCAATTCAATTTATATTTACATTTATTCATATTACTAATTATATTATTCAATTTTTTCCAATTTCTTCTATTATTCAATTTCTTCATTTTAATTATTTATTATTTTCTTATAAATTCATAATGGATTCCCGAAATTATGCATTCGGAGGATCATCCGCAAATTAGTTTTACATTCCATCCATCGAAGAAATTGAAGGGTTCTATCCATTTTCACCCTTTCAAGAGGTAGCAATTCCAATTCCACTACCACAAACGGTTGGGACTAGGTCTAGCCAAACACAAGTAGGTTGCGACTCCATGGCTCGATTGTCAAAGAGGGTCATGTTCGAGGTATGACAATTCTTCACCAAATTGAAACGGCCAAAGATAATTGGGTTGGGGCAAGAGACATGCGGGGAATGCAATTTTTGTTCAACCTTTATCGATGCTGAGAACGGGACTTTGATGATGCAGCGACACTTGGGGAAGAAGCACCTCTAACAAACACAGCAGTCCCGCCAGTCTAGTTCAGGTTCAAGGACCGCACCAGGTAAGCAAATTCAAACTTAATTTAATTTTAATCCACAATCATTAACTCTCTCAACATGGAATTACAATGCACTCACATCATGAGAGGAAATAGCAAAATTCATATGTGCTACGGACTGTCCTATTTCTTTATCTGAAAATCCTTATTTTGTTCAAATGATTAAAACTGTTTTTTGTCCAACATTTACCCCTTTTAGTAGAGCTACAACTAGAAGGGACATAAAAAAACCTTTATGATAAAATAAAAAATCAACTTAAAAAAATGAATTTCAAAATTTTAGGAATATATCTATAGCACTTACTTCAGATATATGGGCTGCTAGATCAAAATAGATTTTTTTAGTGTCACAAATACATTATCTAGATCATGGTTGGCATTTACAACAAAAATTGATAGGTTTTAAAGCATTATATTAAAAACATAGTGTTGAAACTATTTATTTTACAATCATTGAAGTTTTGCAAGAATATTTATTATCTAAGAGAGTTGTGGCGCTAACGCTTAATAATATAGTTGCTAACACCTTGGCAATTTGTTTATTTGAAAAGAGATTGGATCCGCATGGTGAAGACAATTTTTTTCACCAGAGATGTGCTTGCCACATCATCAATTTGATTTTTAAAGCAAGTTTAAAAGTTATACATTCAAGGATTGAAAGGGAGTGTGCAGCTATCGAATTCATCGTTGGTAGCAATTCAAGATGGACTGAATTCCGCAAATATTGTCGCCAAGAGGATCCGTCGATTCAACCAAAGAAGTCATGTACGGACATGCCTATCCGTTGAAACTTTACGTACCTGATGTTGGAAAAGGCTATATCAACCGCAAGACAAATTAAAAAGTTCATCAACCGGAAGAACTATTCGAAGGAAGTCGTCAACGAATCCGATTGGATGATTTGCAAACTATTTTTCAAATCTTAAATTCTTTTACGATTCCACTAATCTATTAATTGGCATTTAATATCCTACTACTAACGTAGCATTAGATGTTTTACTTCAAATTTCTACAAGTTTTGCTACATATAGATATAATAAAGATTTGCGCAACATTGTTGTTGCAATGAAAAAAAAAAAATACCAGAAATATTGGTTAGATATTCTATTCCTATATGGATTAGGTCTTATTGTAGATCATAGATTTAAATCTAGTGTATTTAATTGTACGGTTGCTGAGATAGGCCATAATTTACAATATGACCATAGTTCTTATTTGATAGAATTTAACAGAAAATTAGAAAGCCTTTTTTCTTTATATCAGAGTAGGCACATTAAAGCGTCCAACACCAACAGAGACGAACAGTAGGACCCTGATGAAGACCAAGGATGGCAGGGAAAAGCATATGGAGGTTTGTGGAACATGACAGTGGTGGTGGTGGAAGTAGTAGCTTGTACAAATAACTTGGACCAAATTAGTTGTATTGGTACCTACAAATGGACATGTCCTACATGACCACGAAGGAGAAGTGTGAGATGAATGTGCTTCAATGGTGGAACCACAATGCAATTCAATTCCCTATAGTAGCCAAAATGGCATGTGACATTCTATCTGTGCCAACTTCAACAATTGCATCCGAGTCAGCATTCTCAATTAGTGACAGCATTGCTGAAGAGAGAAGATGTTCTTTAACCAATGAGACGGTTGAAGTCATAACATGTTTACAAGATTGGACTTATGCGGACATAAGAGATTAGCAGCACCCTGAAGATCCTAAACTACTCAACCTCTTCAGAAACACAAATTTGGAGGATGAAAATTAATAATTTAATCAAATCAAATTTATTTAATTGTTTATTTGTGAAGTGTAATTGTGTGAATATTATATTTATGTTAAAACCTAAAATTAAATTATTATTATCTCCTTAAAGTTTAAATTAAAAACAACCTAAATCTATAACCATTTAAAAAATTTACAAATTACCCCTAAAAATTACATGAAACCCCCTATATAATTTTGATTAAGTTCCTAAATAGATAAAAAAAAAAAAAAAAAAAATATAGGAGGTAAATGAAATTATTTAGGTCTATGGATGGGTCCTATGTCCCTAATATTTTTCATGGGCCTGGGACCGGTCCCAAACCCATGAAAGACTGGTCCCAAATGGGACTAATCCCTATCGGGCAAAACTCGAGCCCGGTTAGGTCCGGTCCCTACCCAGTTTTGTTTCAATAGATTCTACTGAAGTTGATCATGGAATTCAAAGAGTAGCCATGACTAGCTTAAGGGAATCAATTCAACATCCTCCTCTTCATCTTCATCATCTGAAGTAACTGAAATTTCCACAATTTCATCTTCTGAAGTATCCAAAATTTCCGTAGGTTTTTATTTGATTTTAACCATCACTTGTTAAAATTAAAAAACTCACGAATTAAATTGTGAAGCTCTATTTTTTGGTTTAACATAGGAGTGAAAATGTAGTAAATTTCTTGACTTAAAGCATCTCCAATGATGCTCTTTATTTTAAAAAGCATATTTCATATAAATAAAGAACAAAATTTTTATTCAAATCTAATAGATTCTTTAAATTTAATGAATATGCTTTTTATTTTCAAGAATGAGACTTAATTTGAGAAAAAATTAATAAATAAAATACATAGAAACTTGTAATTTATTAAATAAAATTATGATAAAAAGTGAAATCTAACTATCTAAATATGAAAAGTCAAACTCACTCTTTAATTTATATTTAAATGATAAAAAGTCTATTGAACTCTTGTTATTATGGATATATCATTTATAATAAAGAGTTTGAATCATATAAAGAGTCTTTTATAAATGCTTTTAGTCTTATATTTAAATTTCAAAAATTTGTCCAACCCAGCCGATCAAAATTAGATTGGTTTGAAATGGTTTTGAACAATTTAGAAGGATTTTGAATATTAACACCGGTTCTCAAGTGGAATGGACCACACCAAACAGACCATGGCTTCCAAGTCAGCTGCGCTAATACAGGCCCAATTTAACATCTTGGGCCACCTTATATATGGGCTACTCAAATTGGGCCAACCATAAGCTAAATCTAGATCCAACCAAAGTAGGTGCAAAATACACAATTAACTCCCAATATTTCCACAAAACTTCATAAAACTTATAGCATTCTAATCTTTTATCAATACATTTTGGCCAGGAGGAGAACATTTTTGGATGCAACATCAGCTCCTGTCTTCTACATGAAGGAGTTACTACATCCCGATACCGATAATGAAACGGGGTTGGGGAGCATAAAACATCACACTTGTAATATACGACATCAACTAATAACACAAATGTCAAAGTCATTCCCAAGTCAAATTTATGTTGTCAACAAAAATATATTGCAAGTCTAGAAGCATAAAAACTGTCCTTTGATTTTACGTTAAGATAAATCAAACAGATTCTGCAACTCTGGGAGGAATCACTTTAGAATACTAAAAACAACCCCTTTATTAAATATGAAGAACAAGAATGGGATTGAAAATTTACCTCTTCAAAGGCACAAAGCATCATAATTACAAAACTTCTGATGCTGAAACCAGATGCAAATAAACATCACCTATATACAGTTAGTTTCTACCAGCAAAACAGTACCAGTACCTGCTAACATCGCAAAACAAAGCAGTCATGGATAAGGTCTTGTAGCTTGGCTGTGCTTTAGGAGACTTACACTTGATTTCCTCTAAGATTGCTTCTAGTTCTTCCAGTGGAGCATAGATATGAAACCATGTGGAATCTAAGTTCGCTTGTAGATTATGTTCATCTCAAAAAGCAACAATGTCGATGCATTTTAGATATGATATGAACCTAGACTTCTGAATCTTCAACTTCAGTACTTATCACAAAGCTGGGAAATGCCAAGGTTATGTCCCTGGAGAACAAGAAAATGGCATGTTACTGTTCTAAAAATGAACTTTTTTCAAGGAAAATGGACTTGAAGTAAACTTAATTCTATGATTTCATGCCTACTTGGTGATATACGCAGTTCATCGCTTAATTTTTAATCAGTTTTACAAAAGCACAAACAAGTTAAGACTTACTTCAAATATGGAAGAGTCATGTTCTTTATCAGAGAGGGGTTCTTAGACACAAACTCTTTCCATTCTTCTAGATCAATTTTTCCATCACCTTTTGTATCGGCATCACTAAAGGTCTGCGAAAAAAGACAAAGTTCAGGACTGGAGGAGGACCAAATAAGCATGAAATAGTGTAGCTGAAAGGGTTGAGTTATCTGAACCTTATTCACAATAGTTTCAATGAAATCATCTGAAAGTACGAGATCTGATTCATGCAGTAGCGCCAAAACCATCTCCTTCAACTGTCAAGTGATATCGAATTATAAGCTTAAGTTGCTGAATGCAAATTTTGGATGCACATTCTAGAAGCCTTTACCGTATTACAAGGGCCACATATATAAAAGAAACTATAATGGTAAGTGTTTGATATATTTACCTCGTCCCACTCAATGAAACCAGTCTGCCTTAGATCATACAATCTGAAAGCAACTGCAAAAGCATTTTTGCAAATTTAGTAGGTATTTAAGAAGCACAGAAATCTTCTAGTGTTTATGAGATTTTTCAGTTTAACCTCAAGAAATATTCGTACAAAAGAAGGAGAGGTTAGTAGAATGCATAGGAGATGATACATTTCCAACACAGAAATACTTGCAAGAATTCTGTGATAGAGAAATGATCTTACATGCAATTTTGTCCTCCACAGGTGCGTTTGGATGAAAGATGCCCAACGATCGAACAAATTCCCCAAACTCGATGACCCCATTGCGCTTGACATCAAACAGATCAAAGATCTACAAAAGAAAAATACACAAAAATTAATGTAAAACAGTATTCACATCAGTGCAGAATATGACGGCGGTTTTTGCTGTTAAAATAGTTATTGATATACAAGTATAGATCAATATCCATGACTAGGAGGCAGCTATAAACACCCTGTCAGCGAAAAGATTCCTCCTATTTCTGTTCCTGAAGAGTGCAAGCTGAAGCTCTTCCTGCTTATAAGAACCAAATACAATTACCTTTCTTTAGAATGAAGTCCACCTTAAAACCTTTCAACTTAAAATTAGTAATAAGAAATATACCTTGTGAATTAGCCCATCATCAATTATTGAACTGCTTAATTTCTTAAACAGCTCATACAAGGCCTCTACTTCGCTAACAGTGACTGTAAAGAAGAGGAAAGACATTGTATTTTCAAAATCAGTCTCAAGGAATATTGTTAGGTGATTCCAAACAGAAAGGAATCAGCAAGATAATCATATTGAGCAGCAAACTCGAGGCTGAAACTGGGCAAATTAACTAGTTAAAATTGTATCACAAGATCTGTAACTTCCATATAATTAAGCCAGGCTCTCCATTTTGTTCATGTCTTAATATGCCACATATGATGTGAATGTCATCTTTCTATATTTCAATGCCAGTGAACTCATGTTTGTTTCTAATAATATCTAATCTGATTTAATAATTTAACCAACCCAATTAAGATATTCCAAAAGCTGCAACAGACTAGGCTCACTACTATCTGACAGTAGCATCACTTCATTCAAGTCAAGTTTTACTCTGAGATTTTTCCTTCCCACTCAAATGCCAAAAAGTGAACATATTTCAAGAACCAAGTAAACTAATTCACTATTTTACTTTAAAGAAATCAATTTCAAGGTGCAGGTGTCATGAATTATGTACCGTTCTAACTTTAAGGAGAATATATGCTTTGTTATCACTTTAATAACAATTAGAGAATGATACTGAGAGACATAATGCAGGATATAAGCAAACAGATTTAATTAAGCACAGGCAAAATAAGTTGGAAAAGTAGCAAGAATTGTACAGGTGAGGGATAATGACTGACAAGGTGTTTCAGCAGCAAGAACAGTAGGCTCCTCATAACCAGGCGGTCGTCTACTTTTTTTGGTCAAGACACAACCCATGAGAAGAGCTAGCACAATTCATCCACAAAACATTTGACAATCACTACTACTCATAAGTTCACCACCTGCCAATATCCAAGAAATTTATATGTGTCAGCAATAATGCTGCACACTTACAGTAACATTATACATGCAAACACACATAGAGAGATATAAAATGCTTAACTGATTTAGTCACTTAACTCATTATGCATGCTGATGATGACTAAAAGCAGTTCAACAGAATGATTAGTCGATATAATAAAATGATAAAAGCAAATCCTACCGCTTATAATGTTTCAATTGAACTATCTGCAATACAAGATTTCTTGAAATTTATGGAATTAAATGGACAGAGGCACAAAGCTACTTATACATGTGAACAGGTAGAACCAACTTTTCTTTTGGACAAAACTACCAGGAACTAGAGCCTTATTAAAGAAAAACAAAGGCTTATCCCATAATGGAGTAAAAATCAGTTTGCCCCCACTAGAGTTCTCAAAAGTCTAACTTTTCGGGCAACTATGGCCTTTTCAATCACCTTACCCCAGATGTTTTAGAAACTAATCAGTTACCCCCTAAAACTATGTCCCACCTCTGTGAAATTCATAAGGGTATAATGGTATTCCTTTGGGAGAAAGGAAGCAAAAGGAGGGGGAGAAAGAACTCTATACCTTCGATTCTCTATAGATCAATGCTAGTTACCCTTCTGAAATGACCTGATTGAAATATTTAGTTTAACTTTAGTAATTATTTGGGTCCAAAAATCTCAAAAGTAGATTTACTTTGTTCCCTTAAATCCATCAATAAAATAAAAGAAAATCGAAAAACCATTAATCAGAAGACATTACTAGATGAGTTCTTTCAAGAAAGAAAAGACATCACACAAAGCAAAAAAGTAAAATATTTTTGAGAAAACCCTTTTCAACTAATACTATACAATTTAATCTCCAATAGGATCAAGCAACCAACAAGCTAATCTCCAACTTGAAGATTTTTAGGATATTTAAATATACAAGGATGTGGTGGAAATTTCAGAAACTCCCATCATCCCTAATAATTTAATAACAATTGAACCCCTAATGCCAACAAAGCTGATGCAAGCAGATTTGACCTCCCTCATAAACTCCAAAAACTATGAGATGATGGGAGTTTTTCAGATGCCAGTCAAGCGCTTATCAACAAAAAATTACATATTAAATTAAAAAAAAAAAAAAAAATCTCCAAATTTTTTTTATTCTAAAAAGAAATTAATTTTAAAAGAGACCAAAATGAGTTCATCTTGGAAACTAATTATAGTTTACAGATTTTAAGCTCTAGTTATTGAATAAATAAAAAGAAAAAACGGAAAGAGCAAGAAGCTATTAATCCAAAAGTCAGGAATGTCCCATTGAAGAAACTGAGATGTGTCTCTCAAAATATAATTTTTCTTTCAGCAGAAAATTTTTACATATTTTTTTTCTTCCAATTTTTGGCCACAGACCTAACGCAAGCTAAAGGCCCAGTCAAAATAATATAATCTTTTATTAGGGAACCAAAGTTTATTTTGTTTTCTTCTGCTTTTCCATGATTTTCTCAGCAACCAAACATACAAATGTGTACATGTTAAGTTTATGTTATCATTATAATTTTATAAATGCTTCACAAGAATCAAGCAATACGTTTTTTCAAAACAAAACGTTTCAGACTTCTAATACTATTTTTCAGACCCCAGAACGCATCTACTCTGTTTGGTTGCCAGAAAATGTAGGAAAGAAAAAGAAAGACAGTTTTTAGGTTCTACTTCAACGACTGTCATGATTTGACCAAAGAAAACCAAAAAACCTCTTCATTCATTTTGGTCAACCACATTTACATGTCACAAAATATTGAGATCTAAAACCTTCTACTTCCTCCCACATATTTTCCAACAATCAAACAGAGCTTCAACACAAACACAACTTTAAAAACAAACCAATTCCATTAACAGCATAAAATCTTAGTCGCTAGAACACGCAAATGAAAGTAAAACACTACAAAAAAAAAGAAAGAAAAGAAAAACTAACCGAGAGAAACAGCCGTCCGGTTAACTTTGGAGTGAAACAGCTGAGAAATACAGCTAGTTTTGTAGGTGCATAGTGTGGAGTAAAAGAGAGGTTTAAAGAAGAAAGTGAAGAATTTGATTGACGAGCTTCCGCTACAGAAATGAAACGTGGCGTGTTGGTGGCGTCTTCAAAAACTCCTTAGTTTCAGGACGCTTTGTTGAGTTTGGACGTTAAGTTTGGGTGGCCATGGCCAGCATTTATAATTGCACTTAACACGGATAGAATTTGAATTTTGTTAAAGATTTTATAAAGGCTTTTCTTGGACAGCTGTCCCCACCGTTTCTGCACACCTTTATCTCTGTATACTTGAATATATTTATTATATTAAAATTCTAATTTATTTATTATTTATTACTTTTGTTTTTCTTAGAGTGATACTACTATATGAATGCACTAATTTTCTAATAAGCCCCGTTTAAAATGAATCTATATATAATTCTAAAATTACCCTTAATTATGGACTTCTTTTATGAAATCATTTTAATTCATTTGTACAAGATGTCAAAATTAATTGATGCCATTGTAAAAAGATAACCTATTTCATGAACATACATTCATAGGATAACAAATTCTATAAATTTGAATCATATACAGTGTATAATAGGATTAAAGTTTTGTTGTAAGAAAAAATGATTTTGATGAATAATTTAATTTTTAATAATAATAAAGCTCTTAATCTTTACCCATTTAAAAAGTGTTGGAAGAAATACTAAAGTGGGTGTGGGTCTATGTTTGACTCCTTGTTAGGCCGAAAAAATCACCGACTTGAAACAAGAGAGAAAAAATTATTTATAATTGAACTCCTTCGGCGGGTTCGCATTATTTTCGGATACGTGAAAACTTAATTAATGGGGGTTGAGAAGACATTCAACGGGGCTATTTTGTTTTTGATTTTTTTTTTTTTTACTTTATGAGGGTTATTTAGCATCACTTTTCTTATAATTGAGTAATTAGAATTAAATTAAAATAACATTGTTGTGGATCACAGAATTATAATTTGTTATGTAATTATATTATATATATATATATATTATTTATATATATATATATATATATTTAAAATTCATTATTTAAGAGTAACCTCCCCAAATAATTCCATTAAGTTCTCACACAAAACAAACTATGTGTTATCTACCAAAACCATTTGATATTGACACACAACCTTCACTTTTGGTTTTTGGAATCTCATAATCGACAACATGTTCAATTAATACGAGTAAACAGGTTATCTACTTATTATTATTATTAATAGAATTTGAGGTGAGTCAGACTCCTCATAAATAAGGCTTTATTGAAACTTGTTGAATAGAAGATTACTCTCTCGTCAAGCTCATATGTTGGGTCATGTCTTTTGATAGACACTTGAGCGTGCCTAGTCGGTGTGAGACTCTAACACTCTCCCTCATAGTCAAGCCCATATGTTGGGTCATGCTTGTTATGAGGTAGTTATTGGCTCTAACTCCTCATCCGTTGATTAAGCACTCAGCTCAATTGAGTCTAACTCTGATACTATATAGAATATGAGGTGAGCTTGACTTTTCACCCAAAAGCTTTGTTGAAGGCAAGATTACCCATCTCGATCAAGTGTATATGTTGGGTCATGCTGTTGATGAAGGCTTAACTGTCTAATCGATATGGACTCTAATAATTATGCATAGAAACATAAATAAATTTTGAACTGCTATCATACTATAAAAGAGAAATTTTGAAATATATTGCATGTTGCATCATAGCATAAGAGTAAAATGGATATGCACTTACTCTTAGATTAGTCAGACTCAAAATTTTATCATGTTTTGAACTCATCAAACAATAGAGTAATCTTGTCTATCAAAAGTTCTTTATCTTAAACTCTATGTTTAGATTAGCATTACACTAAATATTAACTTATTTAGAAGAAAAAAATCCCAAATAAAATTGTATTTGTAATTACCATAACTCGTAGAACGTCTGAGGCTTAACTATCTTTAAGAGGATAACATTAAACAGATATATTTGTAATTTTATAAAATGAATTAAATATTGCACGAAAATTCTGGACGTGTTGAGAGGCACAATTCAATTTGTCTTGGTATAATATATGCCACCATATATTTATGGAAGAATTAAGTAGATAACAATTGTAACATGTGTGTTAATCATGTAATTATCTATTGATTGGGAATAAAGTTTTAAATAATTAAGTAGTTGAGTTGGTTTTTGGTCCACTTCTTGTGATATATACCTTTAATTTAATAAAAATCTTCACTAGTCAATGCATTGTATTAATGTCGGGTTTTTTTTTTTTCAATGATTAGGAATATATATCAAATATTAATGACCTAATTAATTAATTAAAATAAACTTACTTGTTAAGAAAATTGAAAAAAACCATTCTTTTTTTTCCAAAAAAAACAAAAATTTACGATTGTTTTTCCAAATCTTTGACTAGATAATTGTTATATCATATGAATATATTATTTTCCAATATATATATATATATATATAATAATATATATATATATATTATATATATATATATGTTTAGAATTGTGTTCTCATTGGTATTGTTGGCTTAAAAACTGGACCGGCTGGTCGGACCGGGACCCGACAGCTTCTCCGATCCGGTTCAGGTCTTAGGGGGTTTTTGTAATATTTTAAAATTATAAGAGTTCATTGTAATTTTATAGGGGTGTTTGGGAGATATGTCAAAAGTTTTGGGATTAATTAGTAATTTTTGGGGGTATTTTTGGAATATATAAAAATTTTAGGGACTAATTTAAACTTTTTGGGAGAATTTTGTAATATATTAAAATTTAAGGGATTAATATGTAATTTTTTAAAAATAAAATTGTCGCTGATGTCATCAGTCCAACCGGTTGACCTGTGACCCGGGCAGCAAAATAGGTTGCCTTTCGGTCCAAGATTTAAAACAATGATTGTTGCTGTATTAAATGCTCTCAAAGGTGGATTGTTGGCGAACGAGTCCGACACTTATTGTCCTTTTTTTCTTTTTTCT